CAAAAAACAAAAAAAAAAAAAAAACAAAAAAAAAAAAAAAAAAAAAAAAAAAAAAAAAAAAAAAAAAAAAAAAAAAAAAAAAAAAAAAAAAAAAAAAAAAAGAGAGAGAGAGAGATAGTTTGTACTATTTGAGGCTATTGTGATGTTTCACTGATTTCTTTCTCAGCCCATTTATTATCTATGTACAGGGGGGCTCCTGATTTTTTTTTAGTTAATCTTGTATCCTGCTACATTACTGAAAGTGTTTATATTTTAGCTGAACTGTTTGTTTCCCAAATTGCGCTAACTTTTATAGTTGGCACCAAATTGTCAGGCTCAGGTCTTTAGCAGCTCTAGCCAGCCACCGTTAGGCTCTACACCATTCTTTTGGGTATAGAATTCCTGTACAGCAGCCCTGAGCCACTAGCTGCGGTCCTTCATATTTTTTCATTAACCATCTCAGAGCTGCTCCAAGTCCTCAGGCACCTTGGCCACCTGCAACTGCACATATGACTTGAGGGTCCAGTTTTTCTAGCACTTGCTGAAGCTCAGGCGGGATGTGGGCTTGTTTCCCTGGGGTCTCTGTTCAGCATTGCTTTCTTGCTTGCTTTGTGCTCATGTGGCTACTGCCCAGTCAGGGACTTCCGCGGAGTGTACAATCTGTGATTTACACTGAATAATTGTTCTTAATTTGAGCATATCTTCCATTATTTAACAATAAGATCAGATTGAAGACAGCCACTTTTGTCACACTTGCCAGCTGTGACACCTACTGGCAAGTAGTGGTTATTGCACCTACTCCAATCCAAACTCAACCACAGGTAGGATTTATAATTTAAAATATAAATTTATATTTTAAAAGGGCAAGATGATAGACAATTTAACAATCTAAGACTTCAGTGGCTCTTTTCCTTATACCATGTATGATGTTATGCAAGTTTTATATGATTTTTAACATTCCTACACCCCTCTATTTGATTCTGGGGATTAGCTTTGTCCTTCATATTTCTTCCTTGAAAACATGGTTTGATAATAGGGCCATGAATGAGGCACTTTTAGAAATAATACAGTCTTTACAGACTGATAATGACCAACTAAAAGGGAAAGTCAGCATTCTGGACAATGATATAACCAATTTGGAAAACAAAACCAAGTTAATGACAGAGGGTGCTGAGACAATGTCTGAGAGAATTTGTACTGTTGACCATATTAATCAGACTCTATCAAATGGGTATGATAGATTGACTGATAGAATGTGTCTCCAGGAATGTAATATGTGTGCTATAAAGATTATGTCCAAGGATAAGACATTGTTTCTACTGGACAGACTTCACACCTTGGAATTCTCAGTGAAGGCATTAGAACAGAACACTGGACAGGAGATCCAGACTTTACAAAAGGCAGTGGTAAAAAGATTTGAAAAGATTGAGGAATTTATCAAATTTAATGACCAGGTACAAAAGGTACAAAGACAAAATGTAGCCTCATCATTACATACCATATTCTGGGGTAGCTTACCCAGAGTTCTACCTGCCTTTCTGGTGATATCATGAGAAAGAGCATCTGGCACTAAATATCCTAAGGTAGTCAAAGAATATATATATCCATATGTATGACTGATCTAAAAGAAATTAAATAAGCAATTGTATCATATGGAATACATATGGTCAAATGTGGGCTTCAAAGAGCAAGGCAACACCACAAAATTGGATTCAGTTAATCTCAGCAGTCCTTGAAAATGGACCTCAGTTGCTTTGGAAGTGTTATTGGAGGGAAGAAGTGAAAATTTTAGAGTAATAGGAAAAAGCAAAAAGACTTGAGATTTTCCAATTCTTGGCAAAGGACATTACTTTGATCTGTGGGAACGATGAACCCAGAAGATGTAGAAGAAAACAACTTTAAATGTATCTTTATGAAACCTTTTTTTCATCTTTATGATGGAAACCTTTTTAAAAAAAAAAAGTAAAAAAGCTCCCTTAAAGAAATAGAGGAGCAGAGAAACAGAAAGCTGCAAAAAATTAATCAATCCCTCAAAGAAACCCAAGAAAACAAAGAAAAAGCAATCAAACAGGTAAAGGAAACAGTTCAAAACTTGAAGACTGAAATGGAGGTAATAAAGACAACACAAACCAAGGGAACTCAGGAAATGGAAAAATCTGGGTAAACAAACAGGAACTCCAGAGACAAGTATAACCAACAGAATACAAGAGATAGAAGAAAAAATCTCAGGTGCTGAAGATACTGAGGAAATAGAATCATTGTTCAAAGAAAACACTAAATCCAACAAATTCTTAACACAAAACATTCAAGAAATCTGACACACCATGAAAAGACCAAATCTAAGAATAATAGGAGTAGAAGGAGAAGAACTTCAGCTCAAAGGCACAGAAAATATATTCAACAAAATTATAGAAGAAAATTTTCCCAACCTAAAGAAGGATATCCGTATGAAGGTACAAGAAGCATACAGAACACCAAATAGATTGGATCAAAAAAAAAAAAAGCATTCCCTCGCCATATAATAATCAAAACACAAAACATACAGAATAAAGAAAGAATATTAAGAGCTGCAAAGGAAAAATGTCAAGTAACATATAAAAGTAAACCTATCAGAATCACACCAGACTTCTTAGTGAAAACCATGAAAGCCAGAGAAGGTCCTGGATAGATGTGCTGCAGACACTAAGAGACCATGGATGCAAGCCCAGACTACTATATCCAGCAAAGCTTTCATTCCCCATTGATGGAGAAAACAAGATATTCAATGACAAAAATAGATTTAAACAATATATATCCACAAACCTAGCCTTACAGAAAGTACTACCTCAACCCAAGGAAGCTAACTGCACCCACAATTACACAGACATCTGATAATCCCCACCAGCATAAACCGAAGAAGGGAAACTCACAAACACTACTACAGAAAGATAACTGGAGTTAACAACCACTGGTCATTAATATCACTTAATATCAATGGTCTCAATTCACCTATAAAAAGATACAGGCTAAGAGAATGGGTACAAAATAGAATCCAGCATTCTGCTGTTTACCAGAAACATACCACAACCTCAAAGACAGACACTACCTTAGAGGAAAGGGGTGGGAAAGATTTTCTAATAAAATGGACCTAAGAAACAAGTGAGTGGGGCTATCCTAATATCTAACAAAATTTATTTCAAACTACAATCAATCAGAAAAGATGGAGAAGAATACTTTATACTCATAACAGGAACAATTAATCAAGATGAAGTCTTAATCCTGAATATCTATGCCCCTAATACAAGAGCACCCACATATGTAAAAGAAAGATTACTAAAACTTAAATCACACATCAAACCCCACACACTAATAGCAGGAGATTTCAACACTCCTCTCTCGACAATGGACAAGTCAACCAGACAGAAACTTAACAGAGAAATAAGAGAACTAACAGATGTAATGAATCAAATGGACTTAACAGACATCTATAGAACATTCCACCCAAATAGGAAAGAAAATACCTTCTTCTCAGCACCTCATGGAACCTTCTATAAGACTGATCACATTCTTAGTAACAAAGCAAACATCCACAGATACAAAAAAAAAATGGAGTAATCTACTGTGTCTTATCAGATCACCATGATGTAAAGTTAGAATTCAACAACATTACTACTCTTAGACTACTGAGAACTCAAGAACAATGGCAATGGGTTTTTGTTCCTACTGCATGAACTGGCTTTGTGGGAGCCTAGGCAGTTTGGATGCTCACCTTACTAGACCTGGATGGAGGTGGGTGGTCCTTGGACTTCTCACAGGGCAGGAAAACTTGATTGCTCTTTGGGCTAACGAGGGAGGGGGACTTGATTGGGGGAGGGGGAGGGAGATGAGAGGCATTGGCGGGGAAGAATCAGAAATCTTTAATAAATAAATAAAAATTAAAAAAATATATAAAAAATAAAATATGAAAGAAAAATTTTAAAAAAGCCTACAAACTCATGGAAACTGAACAGTCAACTACTGAACCACCCCTGGGTCAAGGAAGAAATAAGGAAATTAAAATCTTCCTTGAATTCAATGAAAATGAAGGCACAACATATCCAAACCTATGGAACACTATGAAAGCAGTGCTAAGAGGAAAGTTCATAGCACTAAGTGCCCACATAAAGAAAACAGAGAAAGCTCACATCAGTGACCTAAAAGTACACATAAAGATCTAGAACAAAAAGAAGCAGACTCACACAGGAAGAGTAAAAGACAAAAGAAAAATCAAATTGAGGGCTGAAATCAACAAAATAGAAACAAAGAAAATGATATAAAGAATCAATGAAACAAGAGCTGGTTCTGTTGAGATTGGCAAACCCTTATCCAAACTAATAAAAAGGTAAAGAGAGAATATCCAAATTAACAAAATCAGAAATGAAAAGGGGGACATAACAACAGACATTGAATCTTACATTGGTCTTACTACAAAATCCTGTACTCCACAAAATTGGAAAATGTAAAAGAAATGGACAATTTTTTAGATAGATACCATATACCAAAATTAAATCAAGACCAGGTGAGCAATTTAAATAAATCTATAAGTGGTGAGAAAATAGAAGCTGTTATCAAAAACCTCCCAACCAAAACAAACCCAGGGCAAGATGGTTTTAGTGCAGAATTCTACCAGAACTTTCTTTTTCTTTTTTTTTTTTTCTTTTTTTTG